GCTGTCGTTTCTGTGGCCAATCAGTCGAGGACTGCCTCGCTGTAGACGTGGTCGATCGGGTGCCCATTGGGAGATCGGATCTGGTCGGGGCGGGTTGCTAGCCAGATTGGGGGATCAAAGCGGCCATCGCGGCTAAAGCCGATCGCACCCGATTCGCCGACTCAAAAACAAACGCTTTTTCAGGTGCCCTCAAACTAAAATTAGTCAAACAAACAAGAAGATCTTTGCAATAGACAGATAATTGATTGCTGGGCATGTGAACAAGTGTCAGCTAGACTTTCGCCTCAACGAGTACACCTCCACCTCACTGGATCAGTTTGGGTAAAGATTAAACATGGCGTTGCAATCAGAAACAAAACTGTTGATACGGGTACATAAAGTATTGACAGCACAATAAGCTATTTTAGGTTAAGAACAAGTTTTAGGGCACTTGCAACACAAATAGGTCGTATGTACCGAAAATTAGAGCTGCATACGAAACAGTAATACATGTACAGTAACTCGGAAAAGAGAAAAGAATGAGAGACGATGAGGATCCGATGACTCTATAACAGATGTTTGATTGGAAGAAGGAGCAACCATAACAGACCACCCGAAAATCGCTAGTCGCACCCAAGCTATTGACGAAGTGGGGAATGAATATTTAAATACATGTGTCACTCATGGTACATGTATCAGGGAATTCAGCTACTCTGAGAGAGATCAGACCTGGATTTATTCATCAGTCATGAACTAAAGACAAATTAAATTATCAGCCCATCGGATTCCGAAAATGAAGCATATGGACCGATCGCAGGTTAGTTATTTTATTCAGGATTTATTTTGAGTATGTTATTAATATACCCCACCCCTAAAAAAATAAACAACTAAAATTAAAATAAATTAATGAGTAAAATTAGTCTAAATATAAAATAAACAATATGAATTTTTAAAAAATCTATTTTTAAAAAATAATGTTTTCAAAATGAGTGAATAACAATCAAATTTTAAGGTTTAGTCAAATTATCGTAAAATGTGTCTCCACTCTTGTGTCATTTACATGTAGATCTAGATCTAGATCTAGCTAGATTTTCGCAGCACATTAAGCGACATGCTGCAAAAATAAAACCCAGTTCACACTGACACTGCCAATCATTCAGCCCAATTGAGTTGGGGACTGCCAGATTTTTCTCCATGGCGGGGCAAAATTAGCTACCATTTTGTCCCAATTACAATGTATTTGATAAAATCCTCCCAAAAATCAAACGTGGTTGTTTTTGAAGGGTTATCGAATTGAACGTGTTTTTGCAGCTTTTGTCAACCCATGAAAGGAAATCCTAGGTAGTCCCGACTATATCAAAAGAAATTGCATCAAATGGAAAACGTGCATTGGGTATTAGATTTTTACTGTATGTATCTGGATCCCAAAGCCATTATTCATGTCATAGGCCTAGGGTGAAAACAGAGAGAACGCCGATTTCGGAGACTGACTCAGTAAGCGCCGATAGGTATAAACATTCCCTTATGATTTCCAACTTGCCCACATATATAGAGCTGGCCGACTGCAGGCGGCTTTAAGCTCGGATCGGCGTTGTCGGCTTTATTGGAATCCAAACTACATTCTTATTACGCTGAAAAGCTGGGAAGGGCGTCTCGCTGTCAACTCGTGACCTCAGTGCTTTCTTGTCATGTCTCTATTTTTTAACAGTGAAAATGTGACTTCTTCATAAGCTCACCCTTTGTTGTGAACTGCTTTCACTGTTATTAAAAATGGAGATGCGACAAGAAAGCACTGAGGTCGCGAACTCCCAATGCCGAATCGCCGTCGCCAACTCTGGTTGACGGTTTGCGTGACGTCACCCGACTGGACAAGTGACAGTTTTAAATTGCCATTTCAGAGCTGGTGGTTCACAGTTGACAAAAACTAATTACATTTTTTAAATCAGCGTCGTCAAATTAGGGTGGATCCCGGTCAGAATTACATTTTAAGCAATATCTTAGGAATTTCGATAAAAAACAACAACACCCAAATAAATGCTTAACCAACTGTATTTTGGTGTAATGTTTTTCTTATCTAGATCTAGGCTTTAGGCGCCCTCTATGTGGAGTCAAGCAGACACATTCAGGCGCCTGTGCGTCTATCTTCAGCCGTTTAAGTTTCGGCGTTCTCTAATATCACCTCTAGATCTAGACCTATGTATATAGGCCTAATAATATTATGGATCCATGTGTGGTTACTTTTAAGGGCAAACGGGCTAACCCAGATTTCGGGAGTTTCAAGAAATCTTGACCTACACCAAAAGTGGGCGGCATTGCCCTACCTTATATAGGAGAAGTTTGGTTTCATTGGTGTATATTATATAAATAAATATGTATTTGTTTTGTTATAGTTATAGAGAAAACTCTCCTTCTGTTTTCAAGAAATTGAACGAGGGGCAAAAACTTTACCTTCGATTTTCTCGTTTAAACAGCATACTTTTCGGGATAGCCCCCTTAATGTGCTTTAAAAGCGACCAAGTGAGTATGTCCCTTCGGGCTTTTTAAAAGATTTTTATTTTTTTAAAAGTATTTTACGGAGCTCACAACTGCATATATAAACATGGGAGCGCGGGAAACATTAAAGATTTTTCAGTAGGAAGCCTACACGCATCGATTTCCACCAAGAGATCTTTATCGTGTTCAACTTGCACTACGGACCTCTGAGAAGGCTATGGTGTAGATCATACCTACCATATGAGATCAGGGATGAGGATGAAAGACTGTAGACAACAGTAAGAAGGAGCTGAGGAGTTAGGGCAGTAAGGCTGCAGAAAGAGTCAGGAGCGAGACAACATTAAGCACGTCGTATCGGTAGGAGCCCAGAGGAGGGGGCAAAGGGAAGGTGGAGAGGGGGAGGGGGCAGAAAGTGGAGACGAAAGCAGACGACAGAAATGGTTAGAGAACAGAGGGATGAAAGGAGAAAATATTTTAGAGAAGAAAATTTCCCGTTGCTGTCCAGATTCGAACCCAGGACTATTCTGAATGAGAGGCAAACACCATAACCTCCTGACCACGAGAGCCCCCTCCCTTCAGTTTACAAGTGGACTATCAATGCAAGGAGAAAACTAGTAGATGGTAGGCCCGCCTATACTTGTACACTCAGATGAGGGTGCATAGTGTGAAGTTGATGAAAATAAGTCCAGTTAAAAAAAAATGTTTTAAGTGTTGGCCGTCAAAGCCCTTTTATTTTTTTTATATTAACTATATTTAGTTTAACGAAAAAGAAAATGGGTTAAATCTTAATTTGTAATTATCTTCATTTATTATTGGAGTTTAGATTCAGCTGCAGCTGTTCTACTACACCCTCATGCAAAGCCGGCAGGACTAGACGATTAAACGAAGCGAAGTGTTTTTTATTTTTTATTTTAATTTTAAGAATCTTTGGTTGAACTTGAACGTGAAGAAGCCCACGTGGGACGCTCATTGATAAAAAATATTCAGGAAAAGACAAATATGCAGTTTAGGGGACAACAGAATAGAATATACACAAATAGGTCTTGAACATATATGATATACATGTATATATATAGTTCTCACTGGCAGAATCGAGGGCAAACGAGGCGAGGGGTAGGCCCAGAGCAACCTATTTGGAGAACCCAAACAGATGGGTAACGGGAAAAAGTCAGGATAATGTAGCTTTTTTAGAGCATCTGATCAAAGGCATGTAATGGAGGACCATGGTCATCGATGTCTATCGCAGATGGCATTTGATGATGACGACAATTAAATACATAGCTGGCTTTGAGAAATAGCTAGTGGACAGTCCTTTAAGTATGAGCTTTGAGTATTCTTATACGAAATATGTTGAAAGCAATGAATTACTCATTAGGCTACCCCCCCTCTAAAAAAATAGCAATTTCAAAATACGATGTTGTGTACATGTGGGCTAGATTCTGTCCTTTCGAAAGAAGTTTGCTTGCTCGCATTGAAGAGTTTGCTATCTCGCACTGAAGATAGCGGTTTTACATAAGAAGTACGGTACACCCTTTTCATCCAATTTTGTTCACATTTTAAAAGTAGAAATAGTGTTAACTAGTAAATAATACGTTTATCCAGTGGCATTCGTAAATTTTCATAAGTTTTCCTTTTATATTTTGCTTTTAAAATGAAGAAAAAAGCAGTAGAAATGTAATTTTTTGATAGCTCGACTTTTAGAAAAAGTACGGTACCATAAAAACTCCAACAAAACCGCGAAGATTGTTTTCGCTGTTCTGGCAATTGATCAAAATGATCTTTTGAAGAAAAACGCTGTCAATATTTTTCTTCCAGTTTTTCTATGTTCCTCTCAAAGTAATGAAATACTGTTTCAATTATTTGTAGTATTTTAATAGATTGTACCATAATTGATTTTCACGCTCAGTCTCACTCTTACAAAACAAATTTAAATGTGCTACCGATCTGTTTTCACTTAAGTGTTGTATCAGCTGGAAAATGGCGGCCTTGTACTAGGCTGCCACCGGCATTCAAACATAAGTTTACACAAGATTTTGCACGCGTGCTTTGCAATTGTCGACAAATCTCTTAAGTCTTTCGTCGGAAAGCAAGAGAGACGGAGTCTGAGGTAATGCACTAGCTAAGAACCTGGCATCTTCGTTTATTATTTAATATTTTCGTCCATCTTAGATTGTTGCTGACTGAGGAAGAGCGGCGATTGACAACCCAGGCTAGCGGAACAGTCCTAATAATAGTGGGCCGCTTTGGCTTTACGTTGGAAACACTGAACTGATATTCTATGGTTCCAGGTTGGGCCTTTATACTTTGTCGCTTTGTCAAATGCAACATCTATGTCTGTAGTGTGATGATCAAACACAACACCAAGCAAAACTCTGCATCATTGAAGGAGGCATGATGATGGACACTTGCCCACTTGGTTTGATGAGGGCAGTTTTAGAGTCACAATCAGTGCCTCTTCAACTTCATTCAGCACTCTATGTCCATGAGCCAGCAGGCAATGCCAGTCTTAGTCTACTATGTATGCAACTTTTGTTTTGGTTGAGGACTCTTGTTATGCAGTAGATGTTTATGTATTTAGATTTAATTGTTATATATCTCTAGATCTAGATCTAGATCTAGATCTAGTATAGAGATCTCATAGTAATACTGCATGCATGATAATAACATCTCATCAGATGTTTTATTAGATCTAGCAAGCATAGCATAGCATGCCTATCACTATTATTAACTTAACTCTTGTCCTACGTTTGTGCTGAGATGCGAATCTTATCAGCCGCCGGTTATGTCGGACCTTCCGGGCAGGCCGCCGGGGTCACTCAGTGTGTACTGTTGGTGTACAGCGCGCGCGCGCTGGGAGACGTGTGTTTTCGCCATGAATACTGTGGTGGGAGTGTGTTAATCGATGATGAAAATAACGGCACTCCTGTACTGTACAGTTGCGGTCCCGTTTAGGGATACGCGTTTTGACCCCACCAACGATTACTTCTGGTTCTAAAAACGATTACTTTTTAATGCTCGTGCCGATAGGCCTATTAGATTTCTATATAGCCAATCAAACCTAATTGCAAAACATCAAATTATGGTCAAATTCAGGGGGGCA